ATACCAACGGCTGCAATAGGTCGTTGGAATAACAGTTACATATTCCGTAACGTAACGTAACGTAACGTATTCCGAAAAATCCGCTGGCCAGATACGGTAATTATAGACTTGTTTAGATGAACACCATCCAAGCACTAACCATCATCCCACTGTCTTCCGTAGTATGTGCAATTTGTTTTATCATATGCTTTTCCATCGGACTGAAGGTTTCCTATTTTAATACGCCAGTCACACCTAATTTGAAGCACAAATCCGTGTCCAAACTTGAGCGAAAGCTCTTGATTTGCACGGTAATACACTCGATTCCAATGTACCTTGAATTGGCGCGCAGCATCACTCAGGTCTGTTAAAACCTTGTGACCATCAAATCCTATTTTTTGCAGTTTATCGTTGTCACGCTGCTCAAAATCCCGGGTGCCTATGTTCATACGGCAGAAGCAAAGTCAAAAGCTCCATTTTTCGAATTTTTTTTGGTTTTAGTTACTACTACATCGATTTCAACTGCACCATCGAAGTGTGGTGTCTCATGGCCACAAACGCAAATGTTAGGCGGCTACTGTATTCCCCGGAAACTCCAGAGAGGGAATCGGTCAGCCAGAATTTTCAGAAATTTATACAAATTTTCAGGGAGGAGTAACGATGGTCACCAAGGTATCGCCGTCGGTGCTGTTGAAGCGAGCTACAATTGCCTGAATTTGCCTTATTGTTAGGATTGATAAAATATATATAAATGAATAGGATTTGTGGAAGTTTATTGCCTGCTGAATCGGGCTTTATCTTACGCTTTGGCTATTTAAGAGACCGGCATAGAGAGAGAGAGTGTGAGAGAGATAGAAAGAGAGGGAGAGAGAGAAAGGCAGAAAAAGAGAGAGGAGGAGGAGATAGGGAGTGAGAGAGAGGGAGAGAAAGAGGGGGAGAGAGTGTGAGAGAGGGACGAAGAGGGAGGGAGGGAGAGAGAGAGAGAGAGAGAGAGAGAGAGAGAGAGAGAGAGAGAGAGAGAGAGAGAGCGGCACAAAACACAACGAACATGATGGCTACGTGTCAAAGGCAGTGAAACGTACCTTGAAAACCGCACGTGCAATAGATTAACCAAAATGAGGTCCCTTGAGGCTACGCAACTTCCTATGTACGCTTATCTAGACCGCCCGTGGCTAGCCAGCCATAGTTGGCAAGATTTGTTGATTCTATCGAAAGACGTCTGACAAGACAATACGATCCAGCTCACTTTTTATGTATTTCCCTAGTTTTTAGACGGAACTAATAACACACACATTTGTTTAAATTCCTGTTTTCAACATTGCAAAATGCGAAAAATGCGAAATCTCTCCTTGCCCAAGCTCGTTTTCATAACTAGAAACCGCTTAGCTCTCCATTTGCCCCGGCTGAATTCATTTTCTCGGGGTTGAATTGGCAATCACAAGAGCAATTGGTCTCGCAACCCTTGTAGCCATTGGTTCCGTATTCTGCCAGGCTGAGGTTCATTTCGGGGTTTCTCAAAAATTACTATAAACGTGATATCGTAATATATCGTTTCAAAAAATACTATGAATGTAATGATGATGTATTGATATCAAAACAGAAACGTCTCTCTTTCTCTGCGCCTTTCTCTTTCTTTCTCTCAATCTCCTACTCTCTTTCTCCCTTTTTCTCTCTCCCTATCTCCCTCTCCCTATGTCCTATCTCTCTCTCTCTCTCTCTCTCTCTCTCCCAGTCTCTGGCTTCCGAACGCTATTTAGTATGGCACAAGGATGGACCCTACCGATTAGCCAATGGATCATGATTTCCTACGCTTTCCCATCAATGCTGCTCTACACGGTTCTGATGCTTCGCATCCTCTGCGTTCGAAACAAAGTCAAAATGTTCGCATCGCCGTTTTTCGATTTGGTATTGGCGCAGGTAGGTAGTGGAAAAACTGCGCACTACTGACGTATACAGGTAAAAAACATCATTTTAGTTTGTCAACGACTTCATATATTTTATTTTTATTCAATTCGGAATGCGCTTTCCGAGATATTACGTGGTTCCGTTTGATACAGAGCTCGCCGGGACGTAGGTTTTGGTTTCCACTTAGAAATATTGGGCAAACTTCAGAATCGGCTACTTTGGCTTACTTACCTTCCGTGCGGTTCTTTATCTTGGACATATCCCATTTGCTGTCAATCGTTTGGTTATGTATTTGAGGCCTACGATATATCACCACGTAAGTAAAGGTCGACAACTGCTGAAAGAGAGAGAGAGAGAGAGAGAGAGAGAGAGAGAGAGAGGGAGTGATCGCGTTCATCTGGACGAAAAACCGAATCGTTTAAGGTCTGGACCACCAAGACGGTATTACTCTGTTTCATTATTTGCTGGCTGATACCCTTGGCTATCAATGTCCCATTTTTCACCCTCGGCCCAGGACATGGTATCATGGTTGACAGCGGTCCAGTTCGCATGATGAAAGGGAATGATGCGAGCGTCCAGGTCATAATAACCTACTCGATACTCAAATTGCCTTTTTTTAGATGAACAGTATCCAGGCGCTTACCATAATCCCATTTTCGTCGATCGTTTGCTGCATCTGTTTTGCGATATGTTTGTCGATGGGTGTTCAGGTAGTTCTAAATATTTTGCGCGATACTAAGTGTGGATTCGGAAAGTCGCATTAATGGGTAGAAAATGGTGAAACCAGATCCTAAACCAAAGGACTTTCAACGGATGAAATCAGAAAATATTTTTGGCGTCAACATCCCTTGCTGTGCGTTAAATCAAAAACGTATATTAAACATTTTAAAATCAAATTTTTAGCACAAATCCGTGTCCCAAATGGAACGACGTCTATTATTCTGCACTGTCGCCCAATCGATTCCAATGTATCTGGAGTTGCTTCGGAGTACTACCCAATTTGTCCTGGTGACACTATTGAAATTCCAGGACGCTTATACTTACACGGCGGAGTCTTTGTGAGTTTAAAAAGTTGTTGCTATAAACATATTCAATACGTCCAAACCTTTTTATCCCTGAAAGCCGAATTTCAGATACTATTACATGGATTTCACGTGCACAATCCAGGTCTGGTGCCTGCTTGCCACCAATGCGAATATTCGGCGCCTGTTGTTTGTTGGCGCCCAGCAGAAATCAGAGCGGGTACAGCTTTATCGTGTTTGAATTAAAGAAAAACACCAGGCTAATGCTTTTCTCGAATTCTGTATTTAGACACTCTCCGTCGTGGCCACGAATACAGCCAGAGTTAGCGTTATGCACTCGGTTGTCCGATCAACTGATTGAAACGATATTTCTATCCGCTGGCTTCTGTGGAGATAAATAGTATGCAAAACAGCGAAACAGAGAGAGACAAACACAGAGAGAGAGAGAAAATGGGCAGGCTATCAGGGGTTACGGATCGTTTCGCGGAATCGGGCTGAAAAAACTCAGCAGGAACTGTTTGTTTTTAGGAAAATCAGGTAAAAATTTTTGAGAAGGTTTTCGATACCATTGGACCCTAATTTTTGTACCACGCATCATTTTTCCACCCCGGGGAATTGTGAAGGGAAAGCACGAGAACCCTGTTCCCGGAATATTCCGACCAGATTCCGGCTCCGGTAAGGAAAGCCAGACTGTTATCGCGGTTTCTGATTCCCCCGAGGGATCGTTGGGTTTCACTGTGGCTATGCACGCCACGTACCCCATCAAAGGGTCGTTCCGGTCAAAATATGCGCCCCTCAGGCATTGGTCTCGGGGCGTGGAGGGAATTGTTTTTGGGATAGACACTAGCTTACTGTAACCGTTTTTTTTTTGTTGACCGTGGGATTTCGATACGCGAGATAGCACATTTTGTGCCGAATTTTGCGCTAATTCCGAATCCGTTTTCAGAAGTTTCGGAACCCCTCTCGTTAAAAAGTTACAGCCGGTTTTCTATGACCGAAAATTAAAAAACTTCAAATCCTCATAAAAACTCGTGGAACATTTTGTGGAATAATATGGGTAAACGTCATTATTTCGAAGTCCTTACTTCCAAAAGTCATTTCTGCGAAAATTCATTTTTTCGAAAAGTCATTTCTGCGAAAATTCATTTCTTCGAAAAGTCATTTCTTTGAAAAGCCATTACTTCGAAACGTCATTACTTCGAAGAAATGCTAATTTGGAATGTTCATATCACGAAATTCATGACACTGACGATAAAACCATTGCGTAGGTACCATATTCCTATTCTATTAAGGTTATTACTGTGTAGAGCTTCGGCCTGTATTATGATTGTTAGTTACCCCCATCTCCACGAGTTATTATTTGGTTATAATGATCCTTGCATTCAATCACTGAAGCATCACGATGTTTACCTAAAAATGTCCATGTATTTTTTGGTGCTCTCTGAAGTGACATCAGAAAATGTTCGTACAAAGCCAACTAAAACATCAAAAAATCTGGGGGTAAAGTAAAAATTTGCCGATTTTTTCATGCGACCTATAAAAAACTCGATCGAACAAACGGACCGATAGTGGCAGAATGGTGTCAATTAGCGTACGTGCCATGCATGTTTTTCAAAGTAATGACGTTTGGAAGAAATGATTTTTCGAAGTACTGACTTTTCGAAGAAATGATTTTTCGAAGTAATGACTTTTCGAAGTAATGACTTTTCGAAGAAACGATTTTTCGAAGTAATGACTTTTCGAAGTAATGCCTGGCAGCCGAATAAAATACAGCACTCCTAGAAGTAAAAAAACGTGCTTTTTCGAATGGGCCACCTCACGAACCCGTAGCTCAACTTTCATGAAAAAAAGTTTTTCAGTGGTTCGTGAGGTAACCCATGCAAACGAGCACGTTTTTTTACCTCTATTTTATCCCACAAAATATTCCACCAGTTTTTATAAGGATTTAACGATTGTAATTTTCGGTCACTTTCGAAAACGGATTCGGAATCCGCGAAAAATCCTGCACCAACGTACCTCGCGTGTTGTGTGCTACTTTGTGCGTTTCATGTGCTATTTTCAAGATCGATGTTGTTTATTTTCAGAACCTAAAGGATGAATGTGGCGCCTGTGGTGCCAGCTTCCAGTACCCTGCCAATTCACCAATACATCGCCATCTCGATCTCCCTGCCCTCCATGATTTTATACATCGTTACCGTAGTCCTGATTGTCAGGGCCAGGATTAGAGATCGGCTGTTTAATTCGCCATTTTTCTCATTAATTCTTGTCCAGGTAAGCGGTCGCACCCCAAGAATAACCCTCTAATTCATCATAGTTTGCCAACGATTTCTTGTTTTACATATTCTTTCAACTCTGCCTTCGAGGGACTCGGTGGTATGTAATATCGTGGAATGGTCCTGTTTTCGGGACGTAAGTTACGCTTTTTATCTCATTCCTGATTATACGTTGGTGAAACAGACTACAGAATGCGCCTACCAACACTCTGTCCGTCTAGACTATGTGCTTTGAGGCCTGAAATTTCAGATTCGCGCTATATGGCTGGATCACGTGGCGCAACATCCTTTTTCTCGGCCATATCCCATTTGCCTTGAATCGAATTAGCCTGTATCTGTGGCCGGGCTCCTACGGGAATGTCGGTTTTTGGTTACGATTAGTACGTAGTTTGACTATCGATGTTGTCTCTTTGACTCTCTCTCTCTCTCTCTCTCTCTCTCTCTCTCTCTCTCTCTCTCTTTAAATCAGAGTTACATTAATCATTTTGCATTAAATCAAAAAACCAAGAAGTTTAGACCTGGAACGTTGAGAATCATTAAGCCTAGAAGCAAAGCACAACAGATTTTTTTTGCTTTCTTGTCCATTAGGTCTATTTTTCCTTCCAGATCTGGTCTAAGAAAGCCGTGTTCCTGTGCTTGCTCGTCCAGTGGGCCGTGCCGGTGGCGATCAATGGCGGCTATTTCGCGGCCGGATGCCGTGGCGATCTGGTAGACCAGCCGGAGATACGTGCGCTGTTGAGTGGCTGCGGAACCGTACGTATTGCTTTACTTCTCTCTCTCTCTTGCTCTCTCTCTCTCTCTCTCTGTCTCTCTCTCACTCCCATCTAATCCAGATACCTATTAAGATGTCCACCTATCAAAGCTGGTTCTTCGTCGCCCTCTCCACCGGTATCTGCCTGATATGCTACGGCGTCTGTTACTCGCTCAGCTCCAGGGTAAGCCGATTAGGTCTCGAGGAACTTCAAAATTTTGATTAGCAGAAAAAGCTGTCGGATCTGGAGCAAAAACTTCTGCTCTGCTCAATCCTCCAGGCGATCCCAATGTTTGCCGAGTTTTTGAGGACGCTAATCTCGGTAGGGTTTAAATTTTTCGTGCTTAGATATCGCTAAATTCGGCAATAACAAACTGTTTAGTTCTTGCTCCTTTACGTCTTCAAGACCGATCAGTATGATGCAGATTCATGGGTGGTCAAATTCTGGTCCGAAATTTTGTAAGGATTTCAATGATTTCGATGAACGACTGATTGCTTCTAATTCGGCACAAAACGCCTTTATTATTTTTTTTCCAGATACTACTACATCGATACCTCAGTAACCATTCAGCCATACTGCCTTTTGATCACGAATACGCATGTTCGGAAGCTGTTCCTATGTCGAAAACGCAACAACGTAATTAAGGTATGTGCACAATTTTTGTAGGTTTAATTGCTGTATTTTAGGGTTCGTCGGTGCTGTGGGCGATGGCTGCCAGTCATTACTTCGAAAATCATTACTTCGAAAATCATTACTTCGAAAGTCATTACTTCGAAAAGTCATTACTTCGAAAGTCATTTCTTCGAAAAGTCATTACTTCGAAAAGTCATTACTTCGAAAAGTCATTTCTTCGAAAAGTCATTACTTCGAAAAGTCATTTCTTCGAAAAGTCATTACTTCGAAAAACATGCATAGCACGTACGCTAATTGACACCTTTCTGCCTCTATTGGTCCGTTTATTCGATCGAGTTTTTTACACGTCGCATGAAAAAAATCGGCAAATTTTTACTTTGGTTTAGTTGTTTTAGTTGGTTAGTACGAACATTTTCTGATGTCACTTCAGAGAGCATCAAAACATACACGGACATTTTTAGGTAAACATCGTGATGCTTCAGTGATTGACTGCAAGGATCATTAGAACAAAATAATAATTCGTAGAGATGGGGTAACTAACACTCCTAATACAGACCGAAACTCTACACAGTAATAGCCTTAATAGAATAGGCATATGGTACCTACGCAATGGTTTTATCGTCAGTGTCATGAATTTCGTGATATGAACATTCCAAATTAGCATATTTTTCGAAGTAATGACGTTTCGAAGTAATGACGTTTCGAAGTAATGGCTTTTCGAAGAAATGACTTTTCGAAGTAATGACTTTTCGAAGAAATGGCTTTTCGAAGAAATGACTTTTCGAAGTAATGACTTTCGAAGAAATGACTTTTCGAAGTAATGACTTTTCGAAGTAATGACTTTCGAAGTAATGACTTTCGAAGTAATGATTTTCGAAGTAATGACGTTCACCCGTGGGCGATATAAATGTTTAATATGTACTTCTTCAGTGTTTCAAAACGCCGACAACTCGGCAGGGTTTTGGAATAAATGTACAAATCAGGGTGATTGACGATACTTCTTCAAGACGGCCGCCACCCAGTTCAAAATTAGAGCCGCTTCAATTTTCGTGCCTAGACGCGGGCGGTGGACGAAAGCAGCAGATCCAGCTAAATTCAATTTCTTCAAAGATGATTCTGATTTTTGATCGTCGAAGAAAAGATCGGCGAAAAGTTGACAACATTTTTAAACTACTGTAAGCTTTCCTGAATCGGTCTGAAGGTTTCGGACTACCGCCTCATTTTTCGTTCCGATGACCTTTTCTGGCGCCCAAAAGTGGGCCAGACCTGCGTATGAGGAATGGGGGATTTTGAAGTTCGTTTCGGAACTTGTATATAATCTCGTGAAGAGCTTTTTAGAATTCCAAAAATGTGCCACTTCTGGCGTTTCAGACAGACAAGCGGAAGCGATTTCTTCAAAGCTGCAGGATTTAAAAAAAAACCCGTGGGAACCTGCATTTTGTTGAGAAAAATTTTGGTGCTCATTCATGACTTTGAGTCCTATTTTAAAAAACGCCGAAACTAAACTGCGGTCGCTGAAATATTTTTTTGACATGCTACAGAGTGTTTTTCAGTCCAATTTCACTTTCATTTAGTTCAGTTTTGTTTTTAGGAGACTCAAACGTAGCACAATGATGTTTTTGCGTTTTCAAATCATTGTTTCTGTTATTAGGACATATTAACACGAGTAAAACCGTTGAATAAATTCTTATAGTTCGAAAAAATGACCTCCCGACTTGATTTTACCTTTACTAATGAGTATTACATGATTTTTATTTTTATTGTCCTCAAACACAGGTTTTAGACTACAACGAGTGCGATGGGCAGGCCGCAAATTTGCGCGTTTTTCAAAATCCCTGGGTGCCCTAATTTCCCTGATGATACCTATATTTTAGTTTGCCATTCTTCGACCCTTCTGGTCGTCGGAACAAAGTACGAACCGTTACGGAACTACGCGCAATAGTACTTAATCAATTAGGAAAATTTTATCGCACCTTTTTATTGCATTTTTGCGTGCCACACGACTAATTTAATAGCATCACCAAAGCTAGATGATTTATGGGCATGTAGTAAAAGCATACCGCCGGGGCGAGGGTGGCCATTCCAAATCACAGGGTCGGCATTTAGATTACAGGTGGGTAGTAATTTTTGGTGGAGCAATTTCCGGTAACTGCGGCTTCCGGTTTTTGCTCGCAACCTCTGAATGGTCACGCAACAGCATGGGGGGATGAAAATAAGGTGGAAAAGCTGGGCGAATTTCCAGACCTGCTCGGATTTTGATTGTGAATGCCTTTATGCAGATATTTTCACATCATTTAAGCTGCCTTACTTTTTGAAGGTCCGGTGATGCGAAAAAGGCTTCGTTGAAACGTTGTATGCTAGCTTTTTTGAAGGAACCTTTAAACTTGTGTGTCCCCTTTTCCTTACAAAACCAGTGTATGCTGTTTTCAACCAATTCATGTATATCTTCTACGTTCTTTAAGTTTTTAAAAATACCCTGAAAAACTTTACGTGAAGATAGGCACACTGAGGAGATGTTTCTCGCGTATTTCCTGCTACGGGTGCCGATTGTGTTTCTCGAAATCCTGTATGATTTATTTTTAAATGAGCAAAGTATATTTACAGATTTGCTTACCAAAAATTGCTGCAATTGTTGGCTGTAAATAAAGATTTCTAAAAATTGAAAAAATTTCCAGAGATTTTGCTCGAAAGGAAATTTTTCTCAGATGTACATTTCATGTTCACAACTTATCAAATCGGTATTTTTTTATTGTTCTTGGTTTTTCACCTTCGGTCGTTTGGGGGTGACGGAGCCCCGAATGGAAATTTTTGAACGCCATGCGTCGTTGGTCCCCGGGGCCGGTACCAACCCCATACCCCTAACAACCAACATAAATAGATATAACTTTTCACTTGGCCGTTCCGCCTGGCCAGGAACCCATAAAACCAAATAAATAATTTCACAGCCGCCATCTGAGGCAGCCACTGCGTAACAGTGCTGCCAATTATAGCTTTGATTTATTGGGTAGGTCAGGAAGTAATTAGTAGTGGGTTGGCTGCAAAACTAGCGAAAAAATTGTGCGCGCCGATTTGGCTACAAGTTGTGCTGGACATCATTGGGCGCTTACTTTAGCACAGTACAACATCAAGAAAATTTTCTTTGAGGTTTGGCATTACTGCTCCTTGGCTGGTGGAATCTAGACGAATTCACATCTGCCATCAAAGATCCTGTGGAAAAAGTGTGTCTAAAAAGTGTGGCTCCCCAAAATTGGACAGGTTGTCGTGATTGGATTTTGGAAACGGCTCGTTAGCACCGCGCATTGTCTAGGTATGTATAAAGCATGTTAATGTCAGGTTTTTGGTGGTCACCCATGGTTTCAAATTGAGTTGCTGCTCCAAGACAAACCGGCAGCTTTGAAGCCCGCCAACTAAAATTCAGACTTGGATTTTGACAACGTATTCACCTCTTTTTACCCATTTCTATTCCATTTAAAATAGACTGAAAGCCAAATTAATTTACATAAAAACAGGCCTTCTCCCAAACATAAGCCTCCGTTTTTGGCTGCACAGGTATCCCGAAAGTACAAGCTATCTGACATCTTGCATTTGCCACTCCTAAATAATCAGATTCTGCCTTGGACTTCTCAAAAAAAAGTTCCTGAGACGTGAAAGCACCTTGAAAGTAGCGGATTCCCTGCTTCCGGTTTGGCTCTAACCAGGCGTAGTTCATCTACCACGGCACCCTTAGCCCGATGAATTCTAGCTGATCAAAGTTGCCTCATTTGACAAATTTTGAAATAACGAAATTTCTAGAATTTAGTGTTTACAGTTGGTTAAGGCGCCTGGTGTTCTTCAACAGGTTCAGGCTGTCCATAACAAATAAGAATAAACGAATTATGAATGAAAACTTGGACCAAAAACATTGAAAAAATTGATATGTTCTTTGCTACCACTCCGATCTTCATTATTAGGCTTCATATCAAGGTAATCTTCGGACCTTATGCGCACGTTCAGGGAGGGGCCGTGTACTCGGCCCCACGTGTACACCCTATGGACTAGAGTGAGGCTTATTCAAACCGGGTTTGAATAAGATTTCCGTTATTCAAATCAAACCGGTTTGATTTGAATACGGGATCCTTATTCAAACCAAACCCGGTTTGAATAAGGATTCCCAACTCAAACTAAACCAAACCGGTTTGAGTAATTTGAACAAGGTTTGAATAAGAACCATTCTCCAAAACAGCCTGCTTTCTGCACTATTTTTGCGTTTTGGCACCAATCTATGGCCGGTTCACTTTAGGGTCGTTCGGCAGCATTCCTGACAGGTTTTAGGGGTTGGCGGACTATTCCGAGACATTTTTTCTGGCAGCCCTGCCAAGGTTATCACGACCATTAGGATGATTGTGAACGGTCGTGAATGCCAAGCCTATGGTTAAAAAATGTGTAAACTCTGTAAACTAAGCCAATTTCATCATTATAATGGTCATGCAAGGTTTTGGAAGGGATGCCTCGAAATCTTAGCCGATTAGCATCCATCAGATCGATTAACATGCTGATTTGCCTGTTGTTCAAACCAATTCAAACCAACTCAAACCTGGTCGGTTTGGTTTGAATAACGGATCCTTATTCAAACCAAACCGGTTTGATTTGAAAAGCAGATGCTTATTCAAACCGCCCTTATTCAAATCAAACCGGTTTGAGTCGCGATTTGATTTGAATAAGCCGCACTCTACTATGGACGTAGGGACCGCGCGCACTGCCTGCCGATGCTGTGACAGGCCATTCCCCTCCATTGCGGCGTGGAGCGCCCCTCGCCCCCTTGCCAGGTTGTAGCTGTGGCTGACTGGTATCCATCCGCGCCTCCCAAGCGGCGGGTACGGGTTCGACCCCCGGCCGCGGCAAAAATCTTTGCTTTTTTCCAAAAAAACGTCCCTGAACGTGCCCTTTAACGGACTCTATTGTGTTTTAATTTTTATTGAACGTGTAATAACCCAGTTTATAAGGCATAATTTACTTCCTTAATCACTCAGCTCATTTGCGTCTGATTCAGCCATTTTTGCTGACTAAGCATTTCTAACTCTCGATTTCCTCGTTGCAAACTCTTGTTAATGCTAGAAAACAAAATACAAAATCAAAACCCGGACCAACAGGTCCAACCACAAGACCAACATTCATAATAGCACGCGGAAGACTTTAAAGTTCCGCGCCGATCCGACTTGCACCCAAATTGCCAGCCACGCTTTGTCCATCCCCGGGGGTTTCGGGTTGATACTTATTTTACGCACCAGGATATGCGTTTTTGGACGATTCGAAACGAGGAGAGGAGATTTAGAAGATTCCTCAAAAGATTGAGCTACCATCGGAGGGGGTGGGTCTGTTTTCGTGCACATTAGAATCCTATCCTCCCTGGGGACATCGTGCTCGACTATAGCCCGAATTTTCAAGCACAACCGGCACGCAAGGAGTTTGTGCCCAAAATATGTTGCTATAGGATGTCCAAATTTGATTTTTGGCTCGATTTTCACATGCTTCACACTTTACATTTCTGATGCGCGCGGGGGCTGCTGATTTGCCGGGCGTCTGGGGTCTCAAATAGAAATCGACTCTTGGAACGAAGGGTTCTGTACTGTAGGGCTCTGGAACATATTCTTTTGGCTGATGAATTTCGTGGCCAGTTTACGGAAAGCTTGCTTCGTTCTCGTTCTATATTGGTAAAACCTTTTGATTTTTTGGATTTGATGATCGATCTCCAGCAATTCTTTGACTAATTCAGCTAACTTGACCGGATCGAAATGCTCTGTAGGCAGGGGCGTAGCCAGAAAAAAATTTCGGGGGGGGGGCCCCCAAAAATTTTTTCCAAAAACCGCAAAACATTAACGAGAAAACAGCGCCGCAGGCAAAATTTTTTGGAAAAAAGGTTACATAGCTCTACAAATAGCCGTAAAAAAGTAAAAAAATAGCGCCGCAGGCAGCAAAATTTTTGAGAAAATGAAAATCATAAGGGTCCCCCCTTATGAAATTTTCGGGCCCCGGCCGATTTCGGGGGGCCCGGGCCCCCGGGGCCTGTATTACGCTACGTCCCTGTCTGTAGGTATCGATTAAAGGAACTGTGAAGCGCGAAAATCAACAAATAAAATAGTTACTGAAAACAAGCGCCGAAAATATGATCGATCCAAAATTGGTGCAGACCTTTTGGCTTTTTGGAAGCCACTTGACTACTGGCACAAGACCAGACTACCTATCGTCGACACATAGCCGAACCTGGGGCTCGATTTTGGCACTTTTCTGGCCTTTTAAAGCTACGGAGACCCATGTTGTGTGTTGCCCAAGTTTGCCTAGCGCCACCCGTAACGCGCTTCGTCGCCTCTTTGAAGCGTCTCATGCCTACAGGTGTGATAACTGGCTCGGTGTTGCGTTGCGTGTCGCGGGCAAACACTTCAGCGGCGGTCACCATTTTATAGCCTCATGGACAATGCAACGGCTTACCGAACGCAGGGCAAGCGTCGCGTGTTGCGTTGCGGGCCCCGGGATATCGCTGTCGATCATACGAACCCATCAAAATTACTAAAAGGGTTTTGCCAGTCCCTTTAAAAATAGTCTCGTTGCTACCCTACTGGATTCAATATATACCAGTAGTCAAGCAAGTCTCGTTGTGGTAAAAACGCGTAATTTCGAAAACAATCCGCTGCGATAATGCCTCAAAAACCGGGGCTAAACGATCCCTTAAATGTAAACAACAAGCCTTTTTAAATTGTGTCTCCCTTTTTGCGCCCAATCAGCTAACCGAAATGAACTTGGCACCGCCAAACACCAGAAAAATTTCGCCAGTTTTGCCCAGGCCGTCGAAAGCTTATTGTTAGAATTTATTTCGGTGAGCAACCCGATTAAAGCACTACTTCCAGCTTACCTAATACATTAAGGTACCGCTCCCAATTCTTCAATTTGATTTGGACCCGGAAAGGTGATCGGGTAATTTTAGGGGACCTACCCTTCGTACTTTCGCCTGTTTGCATGCTGTATGCCTGTGTCATTTGCGAAGGGTAATTACCACCCTTCTACTATGCCTTAAAAAATCCGCTTCCCCCGGCCCGGGTTAAATTGGGGGTGCTCTCCGGGCGGCCTGGGGTGTAGCCAGCAGCAAAAATTATCGGGGGCGGAACGGCACAAAAAGCATGAGGGGCTGCAGCCCGTGAAAAACGTCTGAAATTGGTGTTTATTCGCGAGAAACGTCGGGGTTTGAGGATCGATGACGCCCGGTGTCACTTTTGAATGTTAGTTTGGTGTGGATCCTTTATTTTCCTGGTTCGCATAGCTACTTGATGTAATCTTTAATAATTGCGGCTGCTTAGCGGACGATTTGAGTGACTTTCAAAACTGGACAAAGTTTTACTGTCCATTTTGTTGACGTCTGATTAATTTTCTTGCGCCCGCGACACGCAACGCACGAGCCGTGCACTCGATAAAAAGCCGTGGTCCATTACGCAATGGAATGATAGGCTGCGCGTTGCGTGTCGCGGCTGCGGTAATGTCGGAAGGAAAGAAAATCCTTAATCTTTCCTTGTCCGTTCCTTTAAAAGATGGATTGATATCGATAACACGTTTTTGCTGTATTTCCATTCGCTATTATCGACAGCTCTTCAAGGCCCATTATTTATAACAATTGACCAATTTTGATTTTGTGTCCGAATTTTTGGCGAATTCCTAATTTTTTACGCTGTTTTCAACCTAAAGAATGCGGAAATTCTTTTAACCCATTGTTTTCCCGGACTACGAAGAATTCCTAATGACGAATTCAACAATTTAACAAACTCTAACAATTTCCCATGCTCCTTCGCAGGAAGATACCATAATCTAGCTCCCCATTCCAAAGATCAAATCACAGAAATCCTGCAAATTTTAAAAGTTATATTTTTGCGCTCATGTTGATTTCCGGCGGCAGCCATTTTCCAGCAATTGTTTCGCTGATTTTTCTGCATTTTCTATAATTTGTATCCGGTTTTCCCACGTTTTGAAATTTCGAAATTTTTCGGGGGGCGGTCTGGGGGTGGATATGTGCGTGCGGATGTATGGTTTGACGCCAAGTTTCACCCCCGATTCTGGGTATAAAGTCTCCGAGTTACCGGTCCGGTCCCCCAGGGGGATTCAAACCTGCGCTTCACGGCGATAGACTTGGATTTTAAAGCCGGCCGCGGCTGGAAAAGGACAGACTGGTGTTGTTGCTCAATTTTCGAATTTTATGTGGCGCCTCCTGGGGGTAATTTATGTCGCCAATACGCAAAATACGTAAAATACGAAAGAGCTCATGACTACACGTTGTACCCGCGCGGAGTGTCGGGGTGTTCCAAACAAAAGCTCATTAGATTCGGATCGTGTCTTCAATTTTCATTTGAGATCTGTGGGTGCTGGTTTAAATAGAATCATATGGGGGTGTGACGCTGGTACAGTACAGCGTCTGGCCGGCAGTTGAAAGATATAAGGTGTCTAGTAGGATTCGGTGTCATTCCAGATGGGTCCCAGAAATTACTATCCCATGATCTTTCACATTTTGATAGTTATATAAATGTTTTTACTTGTGTTTTAAAGGACCGGGCAAAGCATTACTGTAGAAATAATCTTGTTGGCCAACGATTTTCTGGGTTTCTGAGGCCGTGATGCGCGATTCGTGAAAACCCATCAAACCCTGCCCAGCATTATGCTACTTAAAGGCTTCCGTAAGATACGCTTTTGACCTTTTTAGCCTTGGAATTTGATACCGATTTGATAGCGTTTCGTGTCGCGGTGCCGGAAAACAAAAGAAAATCCGTAGCCAACTTCTCGGTGTCTTTAAGGTGTGCTCAGGTTTCTTAAAAGTATAAGAACCTACATTTTACGCTTCTCAAATCTGGTATATATTTTTAATGAATCGCCACTTTAATATTTTACCTTTTGGGTTACCGTATGGTCCCGTAAAGCTGTTTTAATGTACGCTTTTTAGTTATGGAGTCCACGACACCCGTCCACCCTACCCCACCCCTCCCCATCCACCAATACATTGCCATCTCCATCTCACTGCCCTCAATGTGTCTGTATATCGTCACGATAGCCCTCGTACTCCGGGCCCGGATTAAGGACAAAATGTTCAACTCGCCCTTCTTTTCATTACTGTTATTACAGGTAATCACTTAACAGTAGTGCATGTAACAAAATATGACAAATTCAGTTTATTAACGACTTTCTATTCTACGTGTTCTTTCAAATCTACATGCGTGCGACGCGATACTATTTGATATCGTGGAATGGGCCTGGGTTTGGGACGTAGGTTTTGGTGCTTACAGATTTGTAATTTCATGCCCTTTTCCCGACTTAAAGGCAATGAGAAGGCTCAAAATCGACCCATCCTGTTAACTAGATCTAGACAACCACGCTGTGTGGTGCACGCAAAACTAAAATTCAGCGTGATTTGGCGTATCCCGTAGCTGTTGAGACCTAGTCGTCATAAAGGGTTGATTTTGCGGCTTCTCAGCCCCTTTAATTACCACTATTTCAGGGTCGCCGTCTTTGGATGGGTCACCTTTCGCAATATCCTCTTTCTGGGCCATATCCCGTTTGCGTTGAATCGAATTAGTTTGTACTTGTGGCCCGGCCACTATGCACATGTGAGTTTTTACATGGTATTACGGTAGTCTATCTGTTCCGTTGTGAGGCACGTAGCGTACTCTTGGACGCAGATTGTCTGCAAGACAACAATTTACGAAACTTTCAGATCTGGACAAATAAACTCGTGTTCATCTGCTTCGGGCTTGAATGGGGAGTGCCGGTGGCGATAAATCTTGGCTATTTCATAGCCGGATGTCGCGGAGATCTGGTGGATATTGCTGACATTCGGTCGCTGTACAGCACCTGCTCAACGGTAGGTGATAAACCACGTGATAGCGCTATTTTCTATCTTTTCTCTTTCTCGCTCCTTCTCTCTCGAGCTCTCTATCTATCTCTCTCGCTCTCTCTCTCTCTCTCTCTCTCTCTCGCACGAATTACAATCGGCTGAAAACCATTTTGAATCGCAAACGACTAGCTTCAGATGGCCTCCTACCAGTGGTGGTTTTGCGTCGGACTCTCTGGCTGCACTTGCATCGTCTGCTACAGCGTGTCCTTCCACCTCAGCCGGAGAGTAAGTTGCCCTTCATACCGTACTCCGCATGCCATTTGGGGTATAGAGTGGGTAGTGTTAGTGCGCACGGAACGTCCTTTTTACTTTAGTTTCAGAGTTGGAGTCAGCCTCCAAAACGACATCAAGTCTTTGTGCGTAATCCGCGTGTAGATTTTTGCCTATTTTTGCATGGTTTTCTTTATTTTCGATCTTCGCTAGAAAAACAGTGGTTTTGGGTGTGGCTTCCATTTTGTTTTCGCTGCATTGTCCAACACTTTCTTGTTAGCAGAAAAAGCTGTCGGAGCTGGAGCAGAAGCTGCTCATCTGCTCCGTGCTGCAGGCGCTGCCAATGTTCACCGAGTTTTTGCGGACGATTATACAGGTCCGTTGTTTGATAAAACCACTTATATAAACGCTTCTAAAGCCCTCACAAAATTTTTAAACCCGAAAGCTCCTGAATTTCATAGCCAAATTTTTCAGTTCTTGCTCCTGTACGTATTCATGATTGAAAATTACACAGCCGATTCGTGGGTGGCAAAATTTTGGTCGGAAGTATTGTAAGTTTTCATAAAAACGCTATAAACGCTCATATTTAAGGAAAAAATAACCTTTAATGCAAAAGTTTTAGATATTACTATATCGATACCCTCGTAACAATCCCGCCTTACTGTCTATTATTAACGAACACACACGTTCGCCGATTATTTCTATGTCGGAAAAAGCATACGGTAAAGGTATCGGCATTTTTCAACGTTTTATATCCCATTTTCAGGGTTCTTCCGCCACTCGTGTCTCTTCTCTTGGGAAGACAAAGATTGTAGAGATTAAATAAAATATATATAAGAAAAAAACGCTCAGGAATCAAAAAAGCCGCCAAACTTAAATTAAAATTTATTGTCTATCTCGTCTCGCTCAAGATTGTTTTCAAAAGCTTTATCAAGGCCCGGATTAAAATTTTTGCCCTTAATAATTTTTCTCCTCGCTCGGCAGCTCCAAGATCTCCTTCTCAAAGTCCCCGCCGATGATGTGCATGATTTTCGGGGCACACCGGGCCATCTTGTGCTTCGCCTGAAAATAAGCAATTTGAGGCAGACGGTATAGAGCAAAGGGGTAGTAATTGCCGGATTACTGTTAATATCACCACGCAGTTCTAAATATGGCATCCGCCGCGATATTAGGGGTTTTTGCTGCCATTTGGCAAGCCAATTCGCAATTTTCGACTGGATTTTGGCGTTTCTTGATGCGAGTAGGCAGCTGATTTAATGAAAAACGTAAACCTATGCCTAGGGATGCCAATAATAGAAAGCACAATTTAGCGATACGTGGAAGATATGAAATCCTGTTAAAAACATACCATTAGAGCGTAGCTCGCGCGAAGGTACTGTACGGTTGGCATGGCTCCCGGCGCCAGGTCCAGCACTTTTCCGGCATTTTTGTACTCGCGGGCTAGTTGCTGGGATGCGCAGTCGATGAAGCGGATGTAGTCGCTAAAATTTTGGTCGAGAACGTTGTTTCTAGCTCTTTGTCTCTTCCGATCTCTCTCTCTCTCTCCCTCTCTCTCTCTCACCTGCAGCGGTCGGCAGCCTCATCTCCGGTAAGATCGTAGCGCTCGAAGCACATCAGCTGCTTGTCCCGGATCACCGGAAAGACGCGTTTGGCCGTGTAGAAAGTGATATCGAAAATTACGTAGGGCTAGAAACTACAAATGTCACCCACATTTTGGTTTCGGGGCCCGTCCATCGCAGTTTAGCGCCGTCCAGTCGTTGACAAACTTTCGGGAGCACAGGCATTTGGAGGAGGCCTTGCGGAAGAAGCTGAAGCTCTGTATTTTACTCGAGCTCCCTCACGTTCTCTCTCTTTCTCTTTCTCTCTCCCTCTCTCTCTCTTTCTCTCTCTCTCTCGCGCGCTTACTAGCAGTTGGCCTGTGGCATCGTCAGATTCATGTCCAACTCGATGTTGAGAGCAATCGCCTCTCTCTCGAGGCACGTGACGACCTAGAAATTTTCATGTATACGTAGCGTTTAACCCTTAACAACGGGCAAACATTCCACTCCCAGCTTTTGATCAAAAAGCAAGAAGCTGCGCCGCGGCCGGGGGTCGAACCCAGGCTTTGCGCGCACCAATGTGCCAACAGGCCGACGGGGTCTAAAACAGACAGGCCCTCTTCCCCCCAAGGAGGTCTTATCCGCGCTTTAGGAAACAGACCCTTCTATAGCGAGGACGGATTCCATAACATTCGGACGTAAATTTTTTCTTTAAACTACCTGTTTGTCAGGCAAACACTCGTCCTGCACCTCTACCGGAACAGCGAACGCTGAAAATTCCCACATACTAATTTTCTCTGAAAAATTACCGGATCCAAAGATCACGGCGGCCACGAAGATGCAGCCCTTTCCCAGCATGGCTAAAAAGATGGAATTTTTGGGTGATGGTTGAACTCTGAAACGTCAGAAACCAAAAGAAAAACGAAATTTTTTAGAATGGCAGCAACGAGCCGGCGGGGACCTAGATGTTTTGTCGGGCTTTCCCACGAAAGATGCAAAATATGGTGGTTGCATTCTGGCGGGGGGTGATGAAAGAGGTTGTTCGAATGGGAGCTGAAATTTGGCTTCAGGGGGATTTGAGGAATTTTTATATATCTGCGGAGACATGTCGACCCGTTAATTGATGGCTGATAAAACATGGACCGGGGGGAGGCTGTAATATAATTATGTCTGGAAACGAGAAGCAGGAAAGGAACAAAAATTTCATTTGAGAAGAATAAGTTCTGATTTAATTTCCTGGAGAAATTACGATATTTCGAGCTAAAATGCAAAATTTGCGTTTCAACGGGAAACGTGACATTGAATTATAACGTATTGTCATTTGAAAACAATGTCAAACCGGAAACAAGCAGACCGGAAAATAGTCATTAATTTTCTTAGGCTCCTCGAGACTGAAAACCAAATTTACCTCGATTTTACTACAGGGTGTCCCAAAAAAACCCCCCCCCACCTAGCGGTCCGCAGTCGATTCCGATTTTGACGATTTAGGTATCTATCGAAAGCCCGAAAAGGCGAGAAAACAAGGAGGGTTGAATTTCTTAATTAAGATTTTTTGCTAATTATGTCCAAAAACCATGAAAACTGCTGATTTATGCGAGATCTGCATGCTAATTGCGAAATTCCTGATAAAAAATTCTCAGCTTTTTAGGAAAACCTGAAATATCGATAGAATCAGATTAAATCTTAGAAAACGAAACCCGCTTGTTTTCTCGCCTTTCCGAGAGCTTTCGATTGGTATAAAAATCATTCCGATCCGATCCGATTGACGGCCTCTAGGGGGGTTTGGGACACCCTGTATAGCAAGGGAGTGTTCTTTTTGCTGAAATTCGCGAATATATTTGGTGTATGCTAATTTTGGTAATACCAGAAAATGAGCCTAAAAATCCGCCAACTTTATAGCTTCCGTGTTTGTGTTTTGCTCAAAGCCGCCCAGACGTAATATCATCGCAGAGGTGATGACGATTCCGATTTCTCCACATGACGATTGGGCCATAAACATCAGCGTTTTTTGTGGTAAACCCGATAGATGTCCCAAATTTCGCGTAGGGCGTCGTAGTGGGGACATTTTAAAATTTGGATTAGCGTAGCGCGGCATTTCATAACGTCGTGTGTTCGGAAAATGGAAATATCATAATGCAAAATTTTTAAAAACCAGAAAAACTCGTCCCGGTCCACGCAATATGCAATCGTTGTGGGACTCTCGAAATCCCCACGCATCTGTGTGCCCTCAGGCTACCTCCGGCGGAAGGCTGGAATTTTCAAGGCCATAATCACCGAATGCAAGTGAAAAAGGCGCTAATAAATTTCATCCGCTCCCCAGCTAAAATAAATAAGCTAAAGAATAAAAAGCGCTCTGTCCGTTTTTAACCTTTTGCTCGAGGGTGATGGTTAAAGTGCGAAGCAGGGCCTGCGCGGTCTGGCCCTTCTCAAAACAGCGACCTTTGTTCGGGCGCCGTCGTTTTTTTGGGGCTGGCGTGGGAACGGGGTTCACACCAGAGAATGTCCTTTATTGAATGGGTGATTTGCGTAATGTGGCCAATTGGGTAGGAAATTGCCTGGGTAATGTCTGTAAGGGATGAGTCACCGGAAAGACGGGTCCTAAAATTTGCATACGTTGAATACAATACAGTACCGCGCGAAACGATATCTTAACAATTTACGCTTGAAGAGTTGGTAACGTAATGTATACTACGTATCGGGGCTTTTAGACTTACTTTTATACTTAGACAGGGTGTCCCAGAAAAACGACCCATCTGGCATTTCGCCGTGTTACATCCAATTGGTCCCAAAATTGGGAGAGAGGTGTATCAGACCCTAAATAACAACAATCCGGACTTATAGCCCTGTAGCTACAGTCGTTCTCGAGTTATCGCAAAAACAAACTTTATTTTCCATTTTTCATACGGTTCCCGTGGAATTAGACCCCCCTAAACAGTAAGTGAATATGATTCTGTAGGCCTTCTTTACCGTAAGAAATTTTTTTCAGAGTAAAATTAATTAAATAAACTTCGATTTAAGCGATTTTTACAACGGAAAACTATCCAAGTTCTTAAGCGAAATTAGGGATTCGCAGGATTGTTATAAGTTTAAAACTATTGTAGGTATGCAGCTGTAAGTCAGGATTGTTGTTATTTAGGGTCTGATACACCTCCTCTCCAAATATGGGACCGATTGGATGTAACCCGGCGAAATGCCAGAACAAAGGTCGTTTTTTTGGGACACCCTGTATATACTACGAAATATATTTTTATTAAAAACATATACCGCGCTTCTGCATCCCTATTAATGACTGTATGCGCCGCGTTCTAAAAACCACTAGTTTATCCATATTACCAAATCTAGGTATTGATTTTCTTCCCGCCATTTTATATACAATTTGCCAGCAAAAAGTGTCGCCAAAAATTTGCATCCCCTGGCTCATGCATGCGCTGAATCACGGGCGCCCCGCGTGCAAAATGTTAGAAGCGGCCAAACGGCAGCGGGGGCGATGGATGCGACATGGAATTTGTTGAATTTATCGTTCTTACGGTATAAATGTATTATTATTGTACAAAAACCATTAAAGATCACCCCAACTTGAACTTTATCTTTAAATCTGGTAAATTTTTTTGGGCCTTATCTTTCCACTCAGGTTTAAATTTGATTTTCTCTTCCTTAAAACCCAGCTAAATTTGATTAGCTTGAGCATACAATGATACTCTTGTAGTTTGTAGCTTATCGCGTATGAATTTATTAATTTTAAGACTTTTCCGGGTTTGATTGGCTCTTTCTCTCGATTTTTTTTAGTTTGGCGTTAACCGCTTTGTCCTTAGAGCTTGCCATTAGATAACGCTTGTTATTTCTTTAGAAATAACAATTATTACACAATTAAAGCATAGTGTTTCTTTTTGCTGAAGGTTTTCAAAAAACTAAATTTAACTAATTTTTCTTGTTTTCGATATTTTTAGGTTCCAAAACGTGATCAAAAATCCAATTAACATCACTAAATCCATATTATTATAATTATTCGAAATTGAAAACCGTATTTTTATACGTTCTTAAGGTACGAAAACCCCCAAAAACCTGTGAACTCCTAGCAATTAAAAATCCCTCGAATGCAACCACCACTGGATCGCCTCAATTTGAATAGCCATTCCTTGCGCATAGTCGTACTCCGCTGTGTGGAGGCGTGAAAATTGTGAAAATTACCTCTGCTGGTGCCCCCGGTCGACCTCAAAGCGCGACTCTCGGCTCGGGCTTGTTGGAGGCAGAGCAACTCCACTTTTTTGAGTATACACAGACAGACAGACACACTCCTCGCAGCAGTCCCTATTCAAATCGGACCCCAATTGGCCACCACCGCCCCACCTGCGCCGGCTCGCCACGGCCAACCCCCCTACTTTTTAGCCCGCAAAAATTCGAATATTTTTTGGGACTTGGGGTGGACGCGCAACCAGGGTTGTCATTACGTCAGAGGCCGTAGTGTTTTAATAATGGGATTTTGGATTTCTTACCGTAACTTTTTTTATGGCCTTATGCTTACGGAGCTTTTTCAGTTTCAAAGGCCCGTAATCAAATTTCACTAAAATTTCCTGGTTCCAAAATTGGACCAGAAGCGTATCAGACCCTACAACACCACAATCCTAACTTACAACCTCTCAGATACAGTAGTTTTCGAGCCACAACAAAAATATGGTGTAGTCCATAAAGTGCTTTTTAAGGAAAAATGCAGATTCGTGAGAATCGAACCCTAGCTATAGAGCGAAAATGATGTTCGACTATGCTCTACCTCAGGAAAATCTTATCCTAACAAAAATCACCCAAGAATTCCTTAATTTACGCGATTTTACCACCGAAAAACGTTGGTGCCCTTAAGCTAAATGAGGAATTCTTACAAGCCCAATGCCCAAAACAACCCGAAAATCCGAATCCGAAAAATCACTGTTTCTTTAAGTATTTTAACGATAGCTGAAAATCACTGTAGCCATCGGGCTGTAAATTAGGATTGTGGTTATTTAGCGTTTTTAGCCTCCTTGCGAATTTTGGGTCCCTTTAGATGTATGAAGGCAAAAGCAATAAGATGCTTTTCTCCGACACCCTGTATACCAGAACCCAAAAAATCAACTCCAACCCAGATGTGTTATCCATTTGATGGTGGTGGCTGGCTGAGAATGGAAATGGGCGTTGTGTGTGCAAATGAGCGGCGACCTTGCCTGTCGGCCGCTCGGTCCCCACCGGTCCCACCAAAATCCCGCGGCTGCCGACAGGACAGTTTTGGAGTCGAGTCGATTCTCTCGGCTATTCATTCCACTGTTGTCTGTGTGCGTTGTGCTGGTATCGGTGTGCCCGATTCCGCCCCGGCCGCGCGCATCTTTTGAGCTATTTTTCCGGGCTATCAGTCAATCCATTAGCCCGTTGGGGGGTGGGGGAAGTTTCGCAAATATGCCGGGGCGGATGTGGCGCGGATATCAAGTCAATTTATGCATTCCATCATACCGGGGAGCTCAAATCTCCATCCCGCCCATTGTCACCGTCATTATTCACCACATCCTTGTCTGCGCTCTATTCGATGAAATGATTACCGTAGCACAAGGCTAACTGTACTTTTCAGATCTCCTCATTGATCTGTTTCGCGTTTCTAGTACCGTACCCCGAGACTGTTGCACCTTTTTGCGATTTCTAACGGAAACGAGTGGCGACAGCCTCATTTTTCCCATGTAGATCGAGTCACTGTGGCGACTGATTTTTTAATGCATAGTATTTTCGCTGATTTATTGAGTATTAAGACCAAAAATCATTTTTTTTTTTTTGTTGCGCGTTTCGCTCATATTTTGCATTCTTTTGGCGGGAACGATTGGATAAAGCATGAATTCTCTTGA